TCTTTCCCTTGCCCAGCACTCCTATCCTTCAACTATTACCTGTTCACAGGATTTCCTGATCCTGCTGGATGTGTACCAGTTCAGAAACCTGCAATACATCTTTCTTCCAAGTGCTGCTCAAATGTCCCCATGAGGGCTGGATTTGAATTTGTAACATGCTTTGGCAAGAAGTTCCACAGGGCTACTACCCGCTGGTGGAGAAACAGCACATTTTGATTCACTTTGTATCCCAACAGTTTCATTTAACTGCATTGGGAAAAAAAATTAATGTCTGATTCCTGTTCGTGTTCTCCATTCACAATCTGTATTTCCTCTGCCCCCAGCCAGTGTAGGACTAAACAGTCCTAGTCCACTCAAGCGTTTTTTTTTCTGGCACAGATCACTTTTTGACTGCCTGTTTCTGAAGCATCTTCATTCCAACACATCTTTTGTGAAATGAGATCAGAAGTGCACACACCACTCAATGTGAGAGGATGACTGAACTTACCCAGTAGTGTAATTAGGTTTCCTGTTCAGTTCTCTAGATATCACTGTCTCATTTCTAATACCTGGTTTGCCTTTTTGACTTCCACGATGCACTGATCTGCTTTCACAAAGATCTTGTTCCTGCTTCAAGATCTTGTTCCTGAACAGTAATGCTCACCTCACAATCCATCACTAATACAAGTGCAGCTCTTCCCTATGCATATCACTTCATGCTGAAGTTCATGCACGAACTTCCTCTCCAGTCAGTTTTGTACAGTCCTGATGAACTTCTTGTCTGCCTTCATCCTTGCTACTCTGAATAATTTCCCATCACCTAACTTTATTAATTTCCTGTCTGTAGCATGTAACACTCCGATATTGCAGCTGGTATTTTCTATTGCCTAAAAGCGATTAACCTTTTATGAATAAGTTCAAAATAAAGCGTCCTCAATTTTTTATATGGAAGTTTAAAGCTGTGATTATTGACTGCTTCTATTCTATGAAGCCTATTTTCTATTTCATCCTTTCATTGCTTTCTCTGGGTAGAACTGTGTCACGGAAGGTAAGCACTGACATCAATGCAGTGATGGTAACTGAGGAGTCAAAAAATGGTTTATGAGCCTTCTGGTATCTCCTCCTTCTCCCTCCTCTCTTTTCCCAGCAGTGCTGTATACCTGACATTTTAAAGACAAGGTGCTACCTCAAATCTTAAGCAGCAAAACATGAAATGTATGCCTTATGCCAATGGAGCTGGCACACACCATCACCTTAGCACACAATTTGCTAAAAATACTCAGAGAACTAAATGCTGAGGTAACCTGGCCCCAGAAAAGCAGCTTAATGGAGGTAGCAACTTGCAGAATGAAATCCCTCACCTCTTGCCTTGTAGTATGGGGAAAAGCCCTTAAGATTCCTTTGGGAGCTACAGGATGCAGGCTGAGTTGCCTACTCAATGCAATGAGTCTGACAAGTGGTCCTGCCACAGTGCAGAATGTACCCAACAGCCAGCCGCCTACCACAGTGCTAAACTAAACCAGCTTCATTTCAGCCCATGTTGAAGAAACCACTTATCCTTTACCTCCCCATCAATGTACTTCTCCAAGCAGATTGCACAGTCAGAGGTGAAGCTGCTGCTGAGTGTGTCCAGTGCTCCACAGCTACCTTCCCGATGTCCCTTACTTTTGGACTTAAACTTCCTGGTCTCCATTTTTTCCAGTGCTTGCACTGCAAGTCTGTTCATGGAATTCTACAATGGAAGAAAGGAAAAAATACGAAAAAAGTAAAAAAAATACCACAAAACAATAAAACAAACACCCCCCAAAAACCTGAACAAATAAGCAATGTTGCTGCATAAGGGACTATGGTTTAGTAGCACCATATTAATGTTTCTTACCACATCTTAGCAGGTCTAGACTAATGTTTAATTTCATAAATTAAGTGGAGGGAAGGCTAATTAGAATTTAGATCAGAAGCCTCTTAAAAACAAAATAAATTATGCCACATGCAGTAGTGAGAATGATAAGCTACTCTGAATTGGAAAAGGGTGAAAAAGCTGACAATTGGGATACACTGCAACTGCTCCACTAATAGGCAGCAACTACTTAAGGCAACATATGAGACCTGGGCAGGAACTTTTCTATCTGTCAGTATTGATGGTAATACCCATTATGGTGTTACCACCATACTAGATGAAGCAGTACATGAGAGAGGGATTAAAATGAAATATTACTAAATTAAATTTCCCCTCCCCCTGAATTTAACCAATAGAAGTTTAGGAAGGCAGTGGGCTGTCTTCCTTTTACTGTAGAATTTATCATCCCCCTTTTTAACACTGCTTCTTAACACTGCTGTTGACCCACAATATCTTTTTGATTCCTACTCAGTATGTCCTAAGCAAGAGTCCTAAGCATCTACACTGCTTTGCATTCCTTTTACATGTATATACTGGACAGTTTTACAAGTACAAACTTCAGAGTTCATTAGCTTCCACTTGCTTTCCCTTTCATGTTTGACAGGACAAACTCAAAGAATCTCACCTAGAATTTCTCCTAACTAAACTCTTTACCTTGCAAACCACTCCCATTAAGAATCAATGGGTGTTATTCTATTAAAAAGAGCTGCAATTTATTTTAAATCCTGAGATCCTCTCCACCATACAGCAACAAGAGCTTGGACTTCTCCTAGAAGTACACCAGGGCTACTAAATCAACCTCTGAACATCCAAAAATCCTATTCCTTCCCAATGATTAAACGGACTGCTTCTGTACTTGTCATTTCAGGATTTAACTGAATGGCCATCACAGGTCAACGCAGATCTCCTTTGAAGACATTTCTTAATTCTTCCAAAGGCCTACATCCATGAGTAAAAGCCCTTCCACAAAGACAGTTATTTTAAGTCAGTGTCCAGCACTTCCAAAAGAAGCAAGCAAGTTCTAGGACAAGGTAAGAGAAGCTAACTTTCAGCAGCCAGTGAGTAACCCATTACTGCTCTTACCTGACTACGTCGCTGTTTTAGTTTGATCTTGACAAGAAGAATAAGGCAAACAAGAGACACAACCACAAAGAAGGCCAGGAAAATTCCCATGTCAAAGTACTCGGTCGGTTGCTTAAAAAATAAAACAAAAATATTATTTTTCCTTTCTTTCGCTCAATTTCCAATCTGTTGTTCCCTTCCCTTCTCTACTTTCTCAGTGGTCACTGTCCAATGCACACGGTCACAATGGCAAAAGTACACACTGTGCTGTTCGTTAAGCGGGATTCTAGGAGTCAAAACCTGGGTCTCGTGTCACTGCACAGAATGCCAGACACGAGACTGCAGGTTTACAGTGTCTCTGAACCAGTCCCGCAAAGCCCAGTTTTAACTGAGTGAATCACACCCAAACAAATATTCACAATTTATTGGTTTGCTTCTGTACTTAAGTGAGGGAAAAATAAACGTTTGCCTTTTCAGTGAATGGCCCACTTCACAAATACATTTCTTAACAGAAGACGTCCATGAAAATACAGCAAAAGCAAAGGGACAACTGGGACATGGATGACCTGTAGCTTTTATGTTCTTCTGTAAACCACATGTCCAAAAGAAAGTCTAGGAAAAACATTTTATATTACAATTGCAAATATCAGGTAACAATCCATGTTTAAAATACCATGCAGAATTACTAATGCAGGGTATGTTACCTTACAAGTCTGAACTACCAGGAGTGTGCAACAATTGAGTTAATTAGGAAAAAGGAAAACTTCTACTGTATAAAATTTTTAGCTATTTATATATTCAGAAGAATCCTCATGAAAGACAGCAGAAGCCACATTGTGGATTCTATACTTACATGAAGTGTAGCTGCTTGTCCATAGTGCAGTTGCTCAACTTATTTAGGTCAACAGAATTTCACACGTATGATGCTCACGAGGAGCATCAAAACATCTTCGCGCTCAGTGCCGTTAGCAAGCACCACATGAAGGAACAGCAGGTAATACCTATATAAAGTTTCTGAAAGTCTCACCCGTGGGGGGCGATGCTGAATCCTTGCTCGTGCCACTTTCTGCTTGTTAACGATGTTCATCAGCTTGACAGCATCAGCTCCCTTCACATACACCACTGGTCTCTTCAGAGGGTCCTCTGAGCCCTGGTTCAGCTACAACAGAAAAAAATCATCTACTCAAGAGGCGCATTTCAGGAAAACAACCTTTCTTTGGACAATGGAGAGAAAAGTAAAGGAATATGAATGCAGAATTGATTCAAGCACCAGTTGTTCTCTTCTAGCACAGACCTTCACTTAAGTACCCACAGACATAAACCTGAATTAAACTTTTGACTTAAGCTGCTTTATTTTTACTGACCAACACTAAGACTAAGGATAAGCAAACATTATTTCTGAACAGCAGCTTTAACTTACCCACATTGTGTACTGGTACATATATTAATACTTTAATAAGTTAAACCTCAGAATGGAGAACAACAAAAATTTGCACATTCAAAATAAAAAAAAAAATTAAAATAAAAGAAGAACATACAAACTTCTTTGGCTTTCTGAACAATCTCATGTCAGAGTCTTGTCTTCCGGGCTCTTTATGCCTAGCCAATTTATCAAAATCAGTAATTTCTACTACTTAACTCGGGAAACTCATTCAAACAGTAATTTGGGTTCTAGCAACCAGTAGTGCCATTTATTACAGAATAAAGCCTCAAAGACTAAAGCATGAGTAGACAGCTTAATTCACCCTTGAACTTCCTTCCAGATACATCTAAGTTTTTTTGAAAGGCCAAATCAAAGAATCAGAAAATAATGCAGATGGGACGGCACCTGAGAGTCCCCAACCCCCTGGTCAAGGCTGGGTCAACTATGACAGGAGACAAGGCTGCTCAGGGCTTTCTTTAATCAGTCAGATGTTGAAAACCTTCATGAGTGGAGTCTGCATAAATTCTCTGGCCAACAAATCCAAAAAAACCTATCTGCTAAACCATACATCAGAGACGGAAATAATACGACAAGAGAATTGTTCAGTTACAAAGCATCACCAACATGATAAATCCATATAGCTTATTCTAACCCACAAGAAAAATCCTCGTATAGTGGCTGGCTGATACAAAACAAACAAGGTACTGACAAGTGAACGGAAATGGTACAAAGGAAAGAAATGAGATGACAAGAGTGTGAGTAAATTGAAGAAGAGCAGCGTATGGCAGAGACACCATATCTACCCGTTATTTCTGGCTAAAATCTGTAGAAATTACCAACTGACCGTTTGCATCATGCTGTTTACAAAGTACTCTACTTAATCTGGACAGATGATGGTGACAGACTTCTTTGAGACTTTAAAACAGATTCTTCCTAGCATGCGACTGGGCTTCTGAGAACACTGATCAAACTTCTTAATACAGATGTCTTCTGAAAAATTAGAAACTATCTGAAGTAACTTGAATCTAAGCCAAGGATCCTATGTGTCTAAGAAAGCTTACCGGCCTATGGCCAAATCCAATCACTGTCCATACGTTCCCAGACACACATTCTCAGGCTTTCTTGTCTAAGAAAGAATTCACCCGATTCCTCGGTAGCTTTTGCTGCTGCCAGACTCTTGCCAAACATGATGCTCTGGATGCTGTTGCTCTTTTTCAAACTATGCAAAAGTAAAACTAAGGAACAAATTAGACTTCACAGAGCATTTCTAAAAATAAAAGCTTCAATCTTAAATCTACAGCATAAGACACTGAGATCAATGGGAATAAAGCCCACAAAATCTGTACTTAAAGACCTTCCATTTGGTAGTAATTCTGCTACCAAATTGTCCAAGGACAATTCTGGTCAAGCCTCCTTCCTACTGCTGTTCACTGACAGGCGGGCAAGGACTGCCTTTCGTAATACTCCACTCCTCCCTTTCAAAGCACTCTCCCTTAGCTCTATTGCTTGGTAACAAGCATACCTAGGAAAGCTTCCTTAATAGTGTCTCAGGATACCTCCATTTGAATCAAAGAGACTCCATATTAACTCATGTCGGGTTTTCCTCCATTGTTATCCATCTGTCGCTGTTCTCCACAATTCCATTGTGAGTGCGAAAATGATATTTATTTCAAAGACAAATTAATTAGTACCCTTGATGCCAAGGGTTCTGAAGAGTCTGGCTCAGAGTCAAAATGCATGAAACGCAAGTGTCCAGAACAGCAAGAGAACGGAGCAATCAAGTAACTCTTACGTGTAGAGTACGAATGCTGGTCTAGTCACTCCTCTCCTGTTTGTGTTTGCATGGGCTGCTGATGTCCTCAAACAGATCCTACTTTGTCAGCTACTGCACTAAGCCACTAACCTCCTTCCATTTTATTGGTACACCCAAAATACTCAATCACCCACTAGTTTCCCAACCACTGGGGACAGTTGCACCCAGTTTATTACAAAGAATCAGGGCAGGACAACTGTTGCTGGTAGAGGGAAGAGAGAAAGAGGCAGTAACCCAGCTTTGCAAGGTCAGAGCAGGGTGGCTGAAAGTAACTAGAAGCTGTAATACAGAGAAAAAATTGGAAAAAGACAGATTACAACTTTGTGCAGGTAGTTTTTATGTGTATAAAAGGAGAAAAAATATCCCTGATAATGCTTGGAAGATAAGGCTGTTGATGCACATGCAGAGCACAGTTCTCAAAGCATCCACTGCAAAGGCTCGCACTCCTTTGTCCAGGATGCTCATTTCAGAATTAAAGCCAGCTCTTTTAAAATAAACAGTGATTGTCTCTCTCTTCCCCCAAGAAGTTCAGGCAACACTTATAAACATTCAGCCTCACTTGGTTCTGCTGCAGCAGAACCAACAGTTCTGTTTCAAGACAAAAGCAAACCAAACCAAATGGAGGCTATTTTTGTGCTTGTTATGTTTCTTCTCTCTACTCAAAACTCAGAATTGGCTGGGAGGATCTTGTCAAAGCATTTCACAGAGCTAGGACCTCACCCACTTCAAATGAAGAGATGGAAATTGTACCAAGATCCCTCAAAAAAGAAAAAAACCTGCCTGTCCACAAAATACATAGGCCAGAAATCACCAGGTGTGAGCAAAAAAGAAATGTGCGTATTTTTTGTAAGAAACTTATAGAATCATAGAATAGTTAGGGTTGGAAAGGACCTTAAGATCATCTAGTTCCAACCCCTCTGCCATGAGCAGGGACACCACACACTAAACTATGTCGCTCAAGGCTCTGTCCAGCCTGGCCTTGAACACCTCCAGGGTTGGAGCATTCACTTCCTTGGGCAACCCATTCCAGTGCCTCACCACCCTCACTGTGAAGAACTTCTTCCTTATATCTAACCTAAAGTTCCCCTGTTTAAGTTTAAAGCCATTACCCCTTATCCTACCACTACAGTCCCTGATGAAGAGTCCCTCCCCAGCGTCCTTGTAGGGCCCCTTCAGATATTGGAAGGCTGCTATGAGGTCTCCACGCAGCCTTCTCTTTTCTCCAGGCTGAACAGCCCCAACTTTCTCAGCCTGTCTCCATACGGGAGGTGCTCCAGTCCTCTAATCATCCTCGTGGCCTCCTCTGGACTTGCTCCAACATGGAGCTCCATGTCCTTTTTATGTTGAGGACACCAGAACTGGACACAATACTCCAAGTGAGGTCTCACAAGAGCAGAGTAGAGGGGCAGGATCACCTCCTTTGACCTGCTGGTCATGCTTCTTTTGATACAGCCCAGGATATGGTTGGTTTCTGGGCTGCAAGCGCGCACTGCCTGCTCATGTCGAGTTTCTCATCAATCACCACCCCCACGTCCTTCTCCGGACTTGTTTGGAACCATGTTTGAAAGCCATTTTGCAACCTCAAAAATAGCAGCTGCTCAACAACAGCATCAATCACTGGCTGGGCAGGGCCAAACGCCCTGTGTTTTGTACACACAGCTGGGCAAGGAAAAAATCCTTGACTAGATAATGGTCCACAAAACAAAAAACTTGCCTCCATCCTATCTTAAAAATTCAATCTCAGACCTGGATTCTGGATTCTAGCAAAGCCTAGAAGAAAAATATAACTCCCCAAACTTTTCTCTTTCTACCACATTCTCAACATCTCCATTGCTTCTTGCCTGCCAGAAGATGAGGAGCAGGAAAACCACAGCACCAAAGTTATCCACGGTCAGTAGCCACATGTCTTAAGGCAGGTGTGCTCCAAAACCTGTGTGCTCTCAAGTCATGCTTCAGCAATCCCGAAAGAACCCACCAGAGACTGTAATAAAACCAGGCTCCCTTCTTCATACCTGATCAATGGCATCTGGGTTTTCAGAAACATCAAAGATGACCGCTGTGGCTCCTCGCTGTACTGCTCGTTTTGCCTGAAAGAGAAAGACAGCATCCTCAGTCCCATCCCAAAAGATGACTTCTTACCCCAAAAATGACTCCCTCTCACCTCCAGATAGTAAACTTAACATTTTGTGTTTCTGTGCAGTTAAAAAGAAATGACAAAATAATTACAAACACAGTAGTTCTTGAAACAGCATGGAACGCAGTTAAACTTCATTATAGCTTCTACAGTCTCTCTGCCCCCTCCTTCTCAGCTCCTTAAACAAGCTTTTAAAGGAATTCAAATGTGATTTAGACCCTCTAAAGACTTTAAAGACAAGAATTTTTAAAAATTATATTACTTCATTTTTCTCCATGTTATTTTGGAACTGCCATTAAAAACAATCTTCCCTGTGATATGCGGTGGAGAGACAAACTCAGTGTAGAAAATAAAGGTGGACCAAGTTCTTTCCCCTTTTTCAGTGTCGTTCTCAGAGTCACAACAAACTCCAGCATACCATAGTCCTCGCAAAAAGTGCTCTTCCTGACCATTAGAGGTCAGAACTGCTGCACAGAACACTTCTTACCCAGAGGTGATCAGACCTATTTTATGTCCACGGCTTTTCATCAAGCATGCAGCCCAAACCTGGAGTTCCCAAGACCACAGAGAAGCTATTAGGACGTATTAAACCCCCCGGGATACAGAGAACAGCATTTTAACCACCGAGGCTAAACTGGTATTTTTACCAGTTTCTGCTACTGTGCCTTTGTATGTTCTGTTCAAACGCTGCTCCGTGGCTCCACAAAGCAAACATTCCCAGGGACTTTTAAAGCTGTTACTGCCTTTGTTGGATGCAGAATGCAAGTAACTGTTTCTCCAAGTGATGACAGCTATCACCATCACAGCCCTGAACAAGAGGACACTGGCTCTTCACAGAGATGAACTTACATTGAGATACAAGAGAAACACAGAAAAGTGATAAATTATGAAACGTCACTGTTTTCCAACAACGCCGCTCGGCACAGAGATGTTAACTTTGAACACCCACAGGCCACTTTCTTTGCTCTGTTCTTGTACTTTGTTTTTATTTTACATCAACCAGGCCCATCAGACAGTGCATGAGGGAAAGCAGCTCCTGAGCAGGGTCTTTCTGAGCCCCGCAGGTATTCGCCCCCTCTAAAGTCAGCACACCCGGGTTGTCACTAACAGCTGCTCCAGAGGAAAAGTTAGCAGGAATCTGCTGCGTGTTCTGCACCGCAGCGGCCCGGGCGTCCCTCAGGTCACCTCCCAGACACGCTGCGCTCGTCCCGCGCCCGAGGCGCCCCATTCTCCGGAGGCGTTTCGAACACATGGAGCAGGTTGGTTCGCACAAACGCCCCGGCCGTGCGCGGCCCCTCCC